CACCATAATCCCAAACATAATCTAGGATTTGATCTGGTAATGGTTTCACTTCATATACTAAATTGCTTCTTTGTTCATCAAATCTTTTAATTTGTAAACCTGCCACGCTTGAACTTTTAGTTCTAATTCTGTATGGATTACATGCGGCAAATATTTTAATATTTGGATGCACCATTTGGTTGCCTTTATACACTCTATGAGCTATTAGATCTGATAAAAGACCTATATGATTACATGTATTGATTTCATCAAAGAATAACCAGACTTCATGTTGATCAACGTTTTTCTGAGAATCTTCCATAAATTGATTGATTATTTCTTCTGTTATACCAGCATGAAGATTTAAAGCATGAAATTCGGCTTCAACCACTCTGGCGAGGAAGCTAATCAAGCTTGTCTATTTATTAATAATTACAAAAAAAAATTATTAGTCATTAATCCATTAGATTCTTGTCATTACATCTTTATCACGTTTATTACCATCAACCATTATAATCAAATGATCATGATATATAATTTAAAAATATATATATATACCTTGCCACATCCGGCTTCACCACAGATTACTACAGGCACATTTGCGCGTGTTCTCAACAAAATTAAAGCCATCTTCAAAAGATTATCAGCTGATAAAGCATAAGGTGGATAATTAATTTGATGTTGAGTTTTACGTGCTAGACTTTCCAATCTATGCAACAACAATTCCATATGCATCGTTCTATAATCTTCTAATTGCCATTTATCTCTAGAAATATGTTGACTTTTAAGTAAAGTTTGAACATTTTCAGGAACTTTTGCTCTATCACGATATAAAGCACAAATGGAATCTGGTGTTTGAGACATGAAAAATACTAAAAGATGATTAGAATCGTCCCAACTAGTTATATTTTCTAATTGATCTGGTGAATCTGAAAGTGCTTGTTTTTGAGAACTTTTGGTTTGAATTGATCTAGTGGCAAAATCTTTAGAAACATCCATTAAGGTGTTAAATAAAGTTAATCTAATGTTATTTTCTTTGATCATTAATCGTAGATTTTCTACTGTGAAAAATGAACTACATGACAAGCGGATCTTTAAAAAGAAAATAAAAATTTAGATAAATAATTATAAATGAATAACAAATTGCAACAACTATGAATATACTATGAATAAATTATAATCTTACCAGTTGATTGGCAAAAACATTAATAAAGATTTCGAGGAATCGATAAGATGTAAGATCAGGTGTAATAGTCTCAAAGAAATATTTGGACAATAATTGTTGGCATC